CACTTTGCACACCCGGGGCCGACAGCAAGAAATGTTCTAGAAACCAGTGACGCGGGGCACGAGCAAAAAGAGGCCACAACAAAAAAAAACACCCTGGCCTAGAAGTAACACAAGATTGCGGGTTTCCCCAGGAGGCGTGTCAGGGTTGAACTGTCACGCGTTGGCAGGTCCCAAGCTTGACCCCCGGGAGGATCCAAAAAGTAGATCCCTTAAGGAGGGTTCCTCTAAAGAGCCTTTAGTAGTTAGGGTCCCAAATTAGGGGGTCTACGTTCTAGATCCTCCCGGGGGGTCTGGGATTATGGGGTTTCCAGCTTACCTTAGCCTGCCGTTAGTCGTTCGGGTGTGAGAGTCCCAATGCAAATGCCCTCACTGGATACTGTTGATGATATAATATAAATCCTGCATTACCTAAACGACCCTAAACTATGGGAATTATGATATTGAAGAGTAATGCAGGATTTATATCATCAACCGTAGTTCTCTAAACTAGGGTCCCGCTCAGGGTCCTTAAAATAAGGGTGCCGTACTGTATTGAGGACCTAAAAAGGGACCCTAATTTCGAGCACTACCCACTTGGGCTTCAGCCAGCGAGTCTTTGCACTGCACTCCGGACGTCGAGTCCCAACCTGGGCGCTGAGGTGTTTGGAGCCATCCGCGCACAGCGCACGGCTCAGAACCTTAAGCCCTAGACCCTAGGCTTGGTGGGAGGAAGAAAACCTCGAAAGCTCACATAGATCTCAGCCATGCGAGAGGGAAAACTCGAAATATCCGGCAGCCTGTGACTCTGCATCCTGAAGCTGTGCAGTTCTAACCGCATAATCGGGCAAATTAGCTTACAGATGCCAGGTCGTCATGTCCTTCCAGAAGGATCCAATTGAGGCCTTGCGACAGCAACCACAGAAACGGGGATCATTAAACCTCAGTACCCTATGACCCCAAAGCCCTAGCCCCTATCGGAGGCTTACATCCGCGGAGACGATGACCAGCCAGAAGTGGCCAGCGCCGTGGACTGAATGATGTGGGTTTTTGGCGGTTTGGGTTTAGCTGCCAAAAGCTGGGAGGGAAGTTTCAAGCCGGTAGTCCCTCAAAGCTCTTTCCTTGGTCTTGTTCCCCGCATGGCTCGAGGTGGCGCTGTCAGAATCACAGGAGGTGGCAAGCGGCCAGAATTTGTTGCGGCAGCTTGGTCGTGGTTATTGATTAATGCAAAAATTGCCACAAGAAATCCAGATCTGTCATGACTCTTGTTTGCTAAGGTTTAGGCTTTAGGCTCCCTAAACCCTAAACCCGAACACCCTAAATTTGGAGTTTTTTGGTTTTAAGTTGAACTTTTCTTTGGCCCTTTTGGAAACTGGAAAGGACCCTAAACCCCAAACCCTAAACCTTAAACCCTAAGCCGAAAGGAATGTCGCACTCTGGATGACCTTCTGCGCTCCCGGGGGCTGGTGCGGCCAGCAGTGGTGGACTTCTTGCCTCGCGGCATAAAGGGCGAAACCAAAAGGGCAACTGCTTTAAACGCCACGTCTGGGTGAAGGTATCTGAAAATTCCCTAAACCCTCAACCCTAAACTAAGAGCTTCCTGCAATCTGTGGTCAGCGCCAGACTCCGAATCCTTACCAAACTTAAACATCAATCTTTCAATGTGGTGATGCAAAGGATACCCCGAGTTGAGAGAGCCCAAACCCGAAACATACACATGGCAGGTCAGTCGTTCTGCGAGACTTGTTGCTGGAATCCGTGCCTGCCCTGTGCGAGCGTGCGAGTCGAAACAGACACATTCTGTAATTGCCTTCGGCAGTCCTCATCCACAGCCTCAATCACCTATATCAAGTTACGATAATAAGGTTTCTACAAGATTACCACAATGGGACCTATAAGGATTATATAAGGTTACTGTAAGGGAGCTATAAGGATACTATAAGGTCGGTCGATGCCGAAGCCGCCGAGGCGACCCGGTGTTTTGGACAAATGCGGCAAGACTACAGAGGGCTTACTTAGGGTTTAGGGGGCTTTTAGAGTTTAGGGTTTAGGGGACCGGGCTGCTGTGTACGAGGCCTGCTGTAAAAAGGGGGCTGACCAAACGAAACTCACGAAAGGTTTGTGCAACGCAGTCAGACGCCAGTAAGACGCTGCGCGAAGACTTTTCCTCTAGAAGTCGGGAACAGTGGAGGTGGAGATTTTCCGCGATTTTCGCTTCGATGACTTCGACATCCGAGTGCAGCCCTCTACGGCCCTCTGTAGTCAACTGCAGTCTTGTGGAGAGAAGCTGTCCCTTGCGATATCCGCCAAGGTGATAAATGTGGAGGCGCCTTTTGCCAAGCATTTCCTTTGTGGCGAGAAGTTGCTGCAGAAGTCGTCTGTTGAGAGGTTCAAGCCAAAAACTATTACGATCTGGACAACGTCATCCTGTCCCTCGCTTCAAGTATATCAGTTGCTTCCGTGGGAGTGCTAAGGCAAGGCAGTCTGCAGTGTGTGGACCCTTGCATCATGAGCCTCACGGAAGTGTGAAACTGCTGTGTCTTCGGTTGACTTTGCCCAGTTGCAAGGAATTCCGGGTATGCCAAAGTCGCCGTATTAGGAGGTGACCACGTGTATGCGCGGGCCCTCAGGGCTTCCGAAGGACGCTTTCTAGTGCACCGTCCAGCTAACGTTCACCATCGCCTTTTCTGCACAGGCGAAACTGGGCTCCCCTTTCACTTTCCCGTCCAGAATGGCGGCATGGCGTGGCTCGTCCCTACTATGTGCCTCTGATCGGGCTGCGATAGCGGACGGGCGCGCACCAAACAAACAAGCTCTTGCTCGACCGAGGGCAGGTTCTTGCAAAGGACTTCTGGGCGGCTTGGAAGCACTACTCCAATAGGGTTCTGGTCCTACGTTTTCGGTGGAAGCCCACCGAGTGACAATTCTAGTCTGGCCCTGGCCGAGTTTAAGGCCCATGAGGCTCCAAAGACAGCTGCGGCTTTGCACAGTCGCGCTGGTGGGCCCTCGCCCATGACGGCGGTGTGGAGCCTCAGAGACTCCAGGCAGCATGTGATCATCAGTCCCGGTGTCAAGTTGCACACTATGAGACTGCACCTGGATCGGCTTTGCCTCACCGATTGCAGAGGCTCAACTGCACGAACCGACAGCCCTTTCTGAGTAGCATGTAAAAACTGGTATTGCTTCCCACTGAGAAGAGCATACAGTCCTACCTTGCGGCAAGCTTTGCGAAGCAGCCTCGAGATCCCTCCGCCCATGCCGACTCCTGCGCCCTCGGTGGACCAGGCACCGGAAATCCATTGGATGGAATTCCAGACATGGTTTCTTGCCATCCTCGACTTAAAGTTCAGCCAGCAGGGAGCCGTGCTGCGAGGCATCCTAGAGTCACGGCCACCCCTTCCTCCCACGCCGGCATTGCCGTTACCGCGCCGAGTGTCCATGACGGAAAAGCATGCAAGATCTCCGACATCCCCTCGGCAACCGCAAGTCTTTGAGGTCAAACTCGACCAGGAGATCTCGCCTGCAGGGGATGACCTGGAAAGAAGCAGTCAGGTGGCCGAGTCATCGTCACCAAAGGCCACCCTTCCGCACGCCGTCATGTTCATTGTTCCCTTTTGTTCCCTAAACTTCCCTAAACCCTACATCCTAAGTAAGTGTTCTTGTCATTTTCCGGAATGTCACAGCCTGCATAGGCGAAGAAGCGGATGACAACCCTCGGGGTGAACCTGATGTCAGAGAAGATGCAACCAGAGCCACCGGTAAAGCACTTCGTGAAGACAAAGCTTGACCTTTACATGGGAGGAGCCGTCCTCATCAAGCCTAGACCCTCATGTGTGCGAGCGTGGTAGTCGAAACCCTGAAGACTCAAAGCCCAAGCCTGCAAATCCAGAAGCTTATCCGAGTGTGAGAGCCTAAGCCCCCTAAGTCTCGGAGGAGTCGTCCTCATAAACATGATCTTCATGGTCGTCATGACACAGTGGACAGGGTCGAGAGCAGAAGCAAGTCTCGGATTGATTCCCGATCCCTGGCCCTTCTTTACAGATGCCTTCTTCGACGTGTCTGAGTATTGCTTCTTCAGCCTCTACGTCGCTGATGTTGTCTTTCGACTCCTGGTCCTACGCAGAGAATGGTATTTCGACCCCTCGGAAGGGTATATGTACTTGAACATGTTTGATGCATGCCTGGTCTGCGTAAGCACCTTCGAGCTGCTGCTTCTACCGGCCATTTTCTCCGCTGGTGGGAACCCAGACATCGAAACCAACACGATCAGAGTGTTGAAGCTGATTCGGATTGTGCGAACACTGCGAATTTTCAAAACCGTGTCTGTGTTTCGTCAGTTGCGCCTGCTAGTCTCGACATGTATAGCAAGCATTGGCGCGCTGTTCTGGTCCATGATTCTTCTGCTTCTTTTGAACATAGCTTTCGCACTAATGATGGCACAAGCGCTGCAGACTTTCATCCTGGACGAGGAGGCTGATCTAGACACACGTGTCCTGATGAACCAGTACTACGGAAGCTTCACTCTAGCCTTCTACACCATTTTCGAGGTGACGCACAGCGGGTCTTGGCCGTCGCGTGTGCGTCCTGTTCTAGATTTAGTGGATCCTTGGTACGCTGCTCTATTCCTGCCATACATAGCTATGGTGGTCTTCGCAGTTATTAGAGTCGTTACGGCTCTTTTCATCAAAGAAACGCTGGCGAGCGCGGCAAACGACGCAGAGCTGGTTATCGAAGAAACAAGACGGAATGCGGTAGAGTATCAGGAGAAGCTAGAGGAGCTTTTCCAAATAGTGGATGACGACGGTGATGGACACTTGACACCACAGGAGTTCGTGGAAGCCATGAGCTTGCCGAGCGTGCAGCAGTACATGAAGTTCCTGGATGTCAGCGTTCGCGACGTGCGCCCGCTTTTCGACATTCTGTCCGAGGGTGACGGCCTTATCACCATCGCTGAGTTCTGCAAAGGTCTTATGCAGCTCAAAGGGCAAGCACGGGCTTTGGACATAGTGATTCTGCAGCATGAGAATTCCAAGCTCATGCGGCAGTGCAACGAGATTTATCGTGCCATCTGTGATGCTGCGGCGCAGTGCAGTCCATGCAGTCCGAGAGGAGGTACGTGGAGTCCGACAGAGTCATTTAGTAGGCATGGTGGCGAACGAAAAGTAGGCTAGATATCAAGCCGTTGAAAAGGTCAGCATCTCCAAGAGATCATGACCCCATTCCCACAGTGGATGTTGCAATGATCGCAGTTTTCTCCCGGAGCGCCTTCGTCGAAAATGGGCCTGTTGAGTCGGGTAAAGCTAGGGCTCATGGTGATCTGAATATGGTATTCAGGTATTCATACTGTTGCTAGTCTGGTGACCGGCTCCTTTGTCAGTCCTGTAAGAAAACGCTTGATGCAAAAGGTGGCATGATACCAATGGCGGCTTCAGCACATCGTAGTAGTTGGGGTAGGACAGCCTGAGACGACTCCAGACGAGCGGTCGCCCTATGCCGAGTCCGGAATGCGATCCACCGGGTCCCGGTGACAGCTCCAACCTGGAAGAATGGCTTGTGTCCTTATTGGATCACAAGTTCGCACAGCAAGAGACTGTGATTCGTGGGTTGCTTGAGCGAAAGCCTCAAGGACAGAGCTATCCGGACAGAACACTATCGTCTTTCTCTGCTGAGAGAATTGCCAACATGGGCACGGCTTCTCCCGGCAGTCCCATGGATGATTCACAGAGCGAGGCGGCCGGTGAGCCAATGTATCCCTTCAGAAGCGATGCTACCAGCGATGATGTTGCTAGAACATCTTCTAAAAACATGGTTAGAAAGAACACAGCGACGCTCGGAGCGGCTGTGATGTCAGAGAGGTGGGATCCAGATCCGCCCTGGAAATCCTTCATCAAGAAACGCCTTGATGGATACATGGGGATTGTCGTCATTGTGAACATGATCTTCATGGTCCTAATGACCCAATGGACAGGTTCAAGGGCTGAGGTTTCTCGGAGCAGCCAATAAGCAGAGAAGAGTAGGAGCTTGTGTGGATAGGGCTAGGGTCCGGACATGCAGGTTCTAATTGCAAAGCGCTTGCCGCTTCTAAGGTTTACCTCAACTTGACGCAAGACCACTGGCCGTTCTTTTCGCAGGAGTTCTTCGATATTTCAGAGTATTGCTTCTACGTCCTCTATGTCGCCGATGTTGCTGTTCGAGCCGTTGTTCTTCGGAGGGAGTGGTATTACGATCCACAGGAAGGCTTCATGTATTTAAACATGTTTGACATGGGCCTCGTGGCTCTCAGTACGATTGAGCTGCTCGTGCTGCCGGCGGTCCTGTCCGCTGGGGGCACTAACGAGTTCCAGGCCAGTGCTATTCGTGTCTTGAAGCTGATGCGGATATACAGGACTCTGCGTGTTGTGAAAACCATGCATGTATTTCGGCAGTTGAAGCTCTTGGTTAGAACGTGCGTTGCCAGCATCGGGGCCTTATTCTGGTCATTGGTGCTCCTGCTTTTATTGAACATAGCATTCGCACTGATGATCTCCCAAGCTCTGCAGACATTCATCTTAGACGATGCTGCAGATCTGGATGCACGTCTTCAAATGTACGAGTTCTATGGTAGCTTCACGAAGTCCTTTTACACCATTTTCGAGGTGACGCACAGCGGGTCTTGGCCATCGCGTGTCCGACCTGTCCTAGATTCGGTGGATGCCTGGTATGCTGCTCTGTTTCTGCCATATATAGCATTGGTGGTTTTCGCAGTTATCAGAGTCGTCACGGCTCTATTCATCAAAGAAACGCTGGCCAGCGCGGCAAACGATGCAGAGCTGGTCATCGAAGAAACCCGACGGTACGCGTTGGAATATCAGAAAAAGCTGGAAGAACTTTTCAAGTTTGTGGATGAAGATGGAAACGGCCAATTGTCTCCAGAAGAGTTTGTGGAAGCCATGAGCTTGCCGAGCGTGCAGCAGTACATGAAGTTCCTGGATGTCAGCGTTCGCGACGTGCGCCCGCTTTTCGACATTCTGTCCGAGGGTGACGGCCTTATCACCATAACTGAGTTCTGCAAAGGTCTCATGCAGCTTAAAGGACAGGCACGAGCTCTGGACATCATCATCCTGCAGCACGAGAACGCGAAGCTCACGAAGAGGTGTGAAGACATCCACCGCAGTGTCCGCAAAGTGTTCCAGGTCATATCTTCGTCCGGTTGGGCAGGACGTCTCCAAGAGATGTAAATGCCCGTGTGTCGTAGCAAGAGGCCATCGACCTCGGGATCATCGCCCGACAGATTCTTCACAGTTTCCGAACTGAGGGTATAGGGGGTCGGGCTTTTTTCAGATCAGATCTATCAGTAAATTTTAGTACCTTCGCGTTCATATCCGGATTAGTATTGGTATTCTCAAGAGTGTGAGTATAATTTATAATATAGCATAACATAACATAAAATATTATATTACAAATATAATGTACTATAATATAATAGAATAGTATAATATAAGTTAGTGTTAGGACTGTTCTCGAGTTAGCCCTGGGCCAATGGGTCGCCCCGTCCAAGTTTGGAAACAACGGCACTGTCGACCTTGTCTCTCGCGGGAAAGAGCATGTGGTCCTACCTTAAGCTACCCAAAACCTACTTTTTTGTAGGGTCCCCTATAAATTTCTATATGAGGGTTTATAATAAGAACCAACAAAAACGTAGGTTTTGGTAGCTCAAGGTATTCTGTCCGTGACAGAGCGGTGTGCGTCCTCCTGAAACCAGACTATGTACTCCCCATTAGTAGGCAACTGCTTCGCAACCTGCTCCCAGCTAGCGATAGACAGCTACTTGCACCAAGGAAGTCACAGAATATCGTATGGGTTCTCCCCCTAGCTTCTGGTGGCAAGGCTTCTCACAGCGGCTGACGCGTGAGCCGTCGTGGTTGCGCTGGAAAAAAGTGTGTGGGAAGCCTAGTTGCCTAGCTGGCAGCATGTGTGGCCTTCTTATAAGGATCCCTACTATTTAGGGGTACTGTATTAGGGTCCCCTATTTTCGGCAACCCCCACATAGGGCAGGCAGCCCCTGACCTCTTTGCATCGTCGCCAGACTCAATGGATGTTTGCAGCAGTTGCACTCTCCGAGTGCAAGCGAGAGTTGGGCCTTGCTGCTTGCGAGACATTGTTGCCCGCAGCCACACAGTTTTGTTCTGACACAGGTCAGGAAGGGGGGGTAGCTGGTCCCACAAAAATGCCGGCGCCTACAGGCGATGGCACGCAAATGCTGCACGTCCACGGCCTGGAGATGGTTCGGCTGTTGGACGAGAAGCTTCAGTCAACTTTGGCGGCTCACTTCGCACAGCAGGAGGACTTGATCCGGTGCCCGGCTGCTGTTCAGCTCATTGTTGGTTTAATTTGAACTGTTGAAGCTACGGCTTGGCATTCTCATGGCTCCCATGCCTGGTGTATTTCAGGAGGCTTCTCAGCGGCCGCGCCCACCCGCAGTATGACTGGGAAGAAGTGTCGAGGTCTATCGCGGCCCGCGAAGCAAACAGGAAGGTTCAGATCCCGCAGGAATTGCAGCTGTCTCAGCTGCCGGAGCAGCTCCTTGCCCAAACTTCGTCACAATATTTAGGTATTAGGCCGTCCTCAAATCACGCCTGTGTGCAACATGCAGCCCTCAGCTTTTGGAGGGTGTTTAGAGGTTGCACTTCTTGGGAAGGGTGCTCAGCCCATCAAATAGCGCTTTGATCTCCGTCTCTGCCGACGGGGGACACAGAAGATGGTGACGTGAAAGATGCCGTCTAGGACAATCTGGCGGGAGAAGCACTGAGGGGCCAAGGTTTCATATAATAGTATGCACCATAATATGTACTACAAGATAATATGTACACCATAATATGTACCATAAAATACGATAAGACACTCTAAAATGTACTACAAAATACTCTAGCATACTCGAATATGTACTATATAATGTTCCAATATACTAAACCATGACATGGGAGAATCCTGAGTTTGGGCCTTGGCTTTCTGGCCTGGGCTTCTCTCTGGGTTTGCTGCATCGACCAAGTTTAGGCTCGTTTGCGCTCTTGGGCCCACGTGCCGTTGAAGCCTTGGCGGAGGTGCTTTGATGAGTTTGGGGTTTAGGGTTCTGGGTTCAAAAAAGGGTCGAGTTTATTGTACTTGCACAGGGGAGGCCATCTAATTTGCAGTGAGAGGGTACCTCGTCTGACTTGCCCCTGCTCCACGGGCTCTAGCCCGTGCTTACGTAAGCCTACCACAGCCATTTTTCTGACGTTCCCGTGCGCTTGGCTGTCAGGCTGAGGACCCACCGTCCGGCTGTGCAAGATAGGGAGGAGATGTCCGAGTCCATCTCCAACTGCGATTCTACGAAGCCGCCGAGTTTGCCGGAGCCACCAGACTTGCCCCAACGACCGGAACAGCAGCGGACTGAGATTCGTCCAGAAACCGTCGGCTGTAGAGTGCTTAACGTGCTTGGATCATAACTTCTGCGGCATTCCTCCTCCTGTAATGTTCATGAGGATTCAAAACGTAGGCGGAGATGGATTCTAAAATATGATGGACGCCTAGGCCGTGTCATATCTTACGCATCCGCGTATCATATCTTAAACATCCTTATCCGTATTATGCTGGTTCAACGCATATCGTATACGTATCCGGCGTGTGCGGAATATATATATATATGTGTATATATATATATGGGTGTGTGTGTACATATGTATATATATATATACATAAGTACCCCAAACATCCGAAGAAAGCTATCGTATGGTTCTACATAAGTCTGCTTCGGACTAGAGGATTCCGGGCTCGCCTGGATGGCCGAGCCAAGGGGGATCAGGATTCCTGCCTTTTTTGGGGTTTAGGGTTTAGGGGTTTAGGGTTTAGAGTCCTGGATGCAAAAAGGGTTTAGGGTTTAGGGTTCAGGGTTTAGGGTTTAGGGTTTCATATCGTTTCGAAATGGCTACGGCTCAAGGGCTTTTCGGCTACGAGG